GAGACCCCAGGACGTCCATGGACTCTTGGTGCGGGAACGCCACGCGCTCCATCGCAAAACCCCCCGAAACGCAAACACCCCAGGGCACCCTGGAGGCAAACAGTTTTTTAGTCTGCGGGTCGAGAGCGAGCCTCTTCCGGGCGGGCTACGCAAAGCTCTAATTGGGGAGACAGAGCACAGGCGGGCGGGGCTTCAGGCGGCCGGAGGGCGGGCCGGGGTGCAGGCGGTGCCGAGGAGCTTGCACAGGAAGAGGAACGCCTTGGACAGGAGCCGGAGGCGAATATCCAAACCCTGGAGGCAAACAGGGTGTTTCTTGGCATGGGCACCAATAGACTCTTGGTGCGGGAACGTCACGCGCTCCATCGCAAAACCCCCCGAAGCGCAAGCACCCTAGGGCACCCTGGAGGCAAACAGGCAAATAGGGTGTTTCTTGGCATGGGCCCCCGCTGCATGAGTTCACGCCTGGACCAAAACCGAGCCCGAAAACCAGAAAGGAGCGCTGCTGGCACGCGCCGCTGGGCCGGTGAGACGCCTCCCCCGGCCCCCCGCCCCCCTGTGAAGACTCGGGTGCAGGGGCAGACTTGTGGGGACTCGGGTTGGGACTCGTGTTGGGGGACTCGGGTTGGCCCGACGTTACCAGCCTGGGACATATCCCTATCCTTACGCTGGGCATCTCCTCATGACGATGCCAGTCTCAGGGATTCCCTTATCTTTTGAGGGCGCATCCCTAAGATTGTCATCGCTTTTTGGCGTGTCGATCTTAGGGACAGGGGTAAGTTCGAGGCTGGTAATGACGGGGCCAGCACCGAAATGACGAGGCCCAATCTGAAATCTGGCGCGAGCTCCCGCTGCAGACGTCCCACGAAGGCTGGACCGTCAGAATCCAAGATCCAAGACGAGCTCGCCAAAAAACGTCGGCGAAGCCGAGTTCCTGCTTACTCTCGGGTCTTACGCTTCCCCGATATTTGAGGTGTGTGAGAACCCTCGAGGGAAACGCTGACAGGGAACACTGGGCTCTCAACATGCTACGATCAAAACCTTCGAGCAAAACGCGGATTTCAATCATTTCGGACGTCGCCCGAGGAGAAGAAACAAACGTTTAGCGTGAGACATCCCCTCCACTTTACAATTTTACGCACTCAGAATTATCCTCGTACTCGTCAGGACGGCAGTTCAGCTCGAGCGTCCTCCAACAAGTGGCTTCGAAGCGTGCTTTCAAACTGCAGTCGCAAGGTGTGGAACGCCCTTCTGCGCCACATACACACACACACGCACCGCCACGCCAGGTGTGGCAACCCTATCTGCCTTCGACTGCGATCCCGCCGCTGCACGTCCTTCCCAACACCACCCTTGGTGATCCTCATGATCATCATTTTTATCCGTTATCCTCTGCCTATCCGTCTCTTTCCTCCTCCTCCTCCTCCTCCTCCTTGTCCTCCTCGGATCCGACTTCGTATTCCCCTTCTTGCCCGTATCCTAACATGTGTACGTGCTGCAGTTTTCTTTACATGAGCCCACACACGCGCGTGCCACTTGTGCATATGTACGCACTCAGATGCATAATCATATGTATATGCATGCATGTGTGAAAATGAATGTATACTTTAGACGAGGTGAACTTTACAGACTCGAGCCTCCTCCTCCGCCCTCGTTGGACACCCCGGCTGGCCTGGGACCTTCCTCGCCATTTGTCCTTCAGGCGCCCCCCTCCCGACCGGCCAAAAACACCCCAAGAAAATCCCAAGGGGGGCCCGAGACTCATGGACGTCCGACGCACATGCAACAACGTCCACGCACAACAAAACATACCCGGATACGTGCCCAGCCTGTCTGCGCGATCTGACAAGAGGAACTGGTCTAGAACCGTTTGGCCGATGTTAGCACAAGGTCTGACATTGGCTGCGCAAACTATACGGCAAGCGCGCGTCGCGCGACTCGCAGGAACCAGGACTGAAGCCGAGATTGAGGAGCAAACGGGAATGGGAACGGCACGGGAAGGACGGAAGCGGGGCTGAACAATCAACGCGACAGCAGCAGCTGGACAGCGAAGTAAGAAGAGGGGACGAAAAACAGGACGAGGAGAGAGGGTGGCGGTCATCTTCCGATGGCACGCCGGACGAGCCGCGCGGCCCGCGCCATGTCGCTCTGGCGCTCGATTGGATCAGCTGCTCACAGCTACTGACCCCCCCAGACTTCCCATATTCTCCTACATTTCCTGAGAAATCGACGATTCATCGTGTCTGTGTTCCCTACCTAGGCTCTGCCTAGAAGGGTTCTTACTCTCTTAGCTTAAAGGGGCCGGGCAGTGGAAAGCGCCCCGGGCGGTTCCCCCAGTCCCCGCCCCGCGGTTCCCCCAGTTGCGCCCCCTGGGTTCCCCTAGCTTAGCTTAGCTTAACTTACCTTACCTTACCTCAGCTTAGCTTAGCTTAGCTTAGCCTAGCTTAGCTTAGCTTAGCTTATATCATCTTAGCTTAGCTTAGTCTAGCCTAGCTTAGCCTAGCTTAGCTTACCTTACCTTAGCTGACCTTAGCTTAGCTTAGCTCAGCTTATCTTAGCTTAGCTTTGCTTGTCTAATCGTAGCTTAGTTTAGCTCAGCTTAGCCTAGCTTAGCTTAGTTTAGCTTAGCCTAGCTTAGTTTAGCTTAGCGTAGTTTAGCGCAGCTTAGCTTAGCTTATCTTAGCTTATCGCATATTAGCTTAGCTTAGCTTAGCTTATCTCAGCTTAGCTTAGCTTACCGCTGCTTAGCTTAGCTTAGCTTAGCTTATCTCAGCTTAGCTTAGCTTAGCTACCTTAGCTTAGCTTAGCTTAGCTTAGCTTATGCTGCTTTCCTAGGGGCTCCAACTGCTAGGTAGGGTCGCGCTGGGAGAATGTTTTCCCTCCTGATTCCTTCCTGCACCGTGCAGCGCGGGAGCTGAACGCCAGCAGGCGCGCCCCCAGGTCTTCGGGGCCCGCGTGGGACGTCACTCCGCTGGACCCCCCCCCCCCAGCAGCCCTCGAGAGTGGCGACGGCTTCGCAGATCGCAAAACCCCCCAGGGATGGCGAGGTCTAATTGAGGTTCGCGTGGGACGTCACTCTGCTGGACCCCCCCCCTGCAGCCCTCGAAAGTGGCGACGGTCTCGCAGATCGCAAAACCCCCCAGGGATGGCGAGGTCAAGTGTAGGTCCGCATGGGACGTCACTCTGCTGGACCCCCCCCCCAGCAACGCTCGAAAGTGGCGACGGTCTCGCAGATCGCAAAACCCCCCAAGGATGGCGAGGCCAAGTGTAGATCCGCGTGGGACGTCACTCTGCTGGACTCCCCCCCAGCAGCCCTCGAAAGTGGCGACGGTTTCGCAGATCGCAGCACCCCAGGGATGGCGAGGCCAAGTGTAGATCCGCGTGGGACGTCACTCTGCTGGACCCCCCCCCAGCAGCGCTCGAAAGTGGCGACGGTCTCGCAGATCGCAAAACCCCCCAGGGATGGCGAGGCCAAGTGTAGATCCGCGTGGGACGTCACTCTGCTGGACCCCCCCCCAGCAGCCCTCGAAAGTGGCGACGGTTTCGCAGATCGCAGCACCCCAGGGATGGCGAGGTCAAGTGTAGGTCCGCGAAGGACGTCACTCTGCTGGACCCCCCCCAGCAGCCCTCGAAAGTGGCGACGGTCTCGCAGATCGCAAAACCCCCCAGGGATGGCGAGGTCAAGTGTAGGTCCGCGTGGGACGTCACTCTGCTGGACCCCCCCCCAGCAGCCCTCGAAAGTGGCGACAGTTTCGCAGATCGCAGCCCCCAGGGGAGCCCCAAGACAGGACGGCGAGGTAGGAGGCAGGGTAGCAGGAGGCAGGAGGGGAGAGGAGAAGGGAGGCGGGGGGCGGGAGAGACGCGACCGCAGTGCTCCATTCAAAACGAGAACCCAACGCACTGGGAGAAAAAAAACAAACGCAAATCGAAATCAAAAGAAATACATGCGGCACTCCAATGATTGTTGCTTCCCATGCTTTTCGGTGCACGACGGGTTCACCCGAGCTTCAGATCCGAAACGGCCCGAGAATGCTCTGGGAAGCCCCCCACGACCGCCCAAGACGGCGCCGAGAGAGCCGTGAAGACTGCAGTAAGAGGCACCCGGATGCCCCACGAAGCGGTCAAGAGCCCCCCGGGAGGAGCCCTCCAGGGGAGGGGCGGAAGGAATGAATGAATGAATGAAGCCGCATGTCCGTAGGCGCATGAGCAATGGCGCGAGCGTGCGCTAGACAGTATGCTTGCGCACTGGCGCTTTCCAGGCTTCTGCTGTCAAGGTGCCCAACCGACCTGTACGACGACACTCGAAAGCAGCATCCATCTCGCAGCGTCTCGCGTGCCTTGCGTTCGGCACAAGCTCGCCATCGCTCGGACGTCCATTCCCCGTGCATGTTTCCGTCTCGTGCGTGTTTTTTTCGTCAGATGATCCCGGGACCTCTGCTCCGAGGTGGCGGAGGGGGGGAAGGAGGTGAGGGTGGAGGGGGAGGAGGGGGAGGAGGAGGAGGAGGAGGAGGAGGAGGAGGAGGAGGAGGAGGAGGAGGAGGAGGAGGAGGAGGAGGAGGAGGGGGAGGAGGGAGGATCCAGGATGCCCCCGGCTGCGCTGCGCTCCTCCCGATCGGCCCCCGAAGGCCGTGCCGGTCCAGAACTCGGGGGAACAGCTTGGCCCGTGCCTCCGGCCCCCGGGCAAGTGTGCGATCGACTTGCATGGATGGATTCACGGGCAGACAGGGAGCGGGGAGCGGGGGAGGGACGGGTTGGGCGTGGCTTACTGGGGGGGGTCACAAATGGGGGGGTCAGAAAAGGTCCCCTTTCGTGCCCCTTTCGGGCCCCTCCGGAGCCCCAGGGGGCTCGTTTAGGCACCGTTTGGGTACCTTTTCGGACCACCCGCGACACCCCCCCATTTATGACCCCCCCATCACGCGGCGCCCAAACGGGAGGGGAAGGGGGAAGGCCGGGACCCCAAGGACAGCCCCAGGAACGGCACGGGACCCCAAGGCTGCGATCTTTGCACGCGTTCGCGGTGCCTACAGATGATGGGGACCACGATGTCGACGTCTTTGCCCCTATCAGGACCAGTCAACAGCAGCACGCGCCCTGATCTCTCACGACAGCCTGATTGCGCTAGCTCAGCGCACCTTGATCATCTCCTGCTGTTTGGGCGGCAGTTTAGAGAGGATCTTCTGCACATCCACTTGGACATTTCCCTCCTTGATACTCTCGATCTCGATCTGATGCTGAGTGAGCATGCAACCGGTGACGGCGCAATTCAAGAGCTCAGATATGCAATGGACGGCATCGACGAGGTCATCGTCGGCTCCGGCAACCTGGAGGATGCACGCCATGCAGGCCAGGGCCGCGTTGCAACAGATGATGCAGTCGTCGCACGCGTCGTTCTGCTTCAGGAAGCGGCTCTGCAGCATCCAGCGGTTGCCGCCCACGGCACAACCCGTGCAGCAGCAGGCCTCCACGAACAGGCAGTTCACGTCGCAGGGCTCGCCCAGCTTCCAGCATGGGTACATGCCACCGCAGCATATGTACTTTTCCCCGGTCACCTCCAGGATTTCCTTCCTCTGCGTGTACACGAAACACACGGGGCAGCAGCATCCGTAGGCGAACCTGGCCGGGTCCGTCGTGCAGGTCTCAATCCGCCCACCCCTTGGGGCCTTGGGGGTCTTCATCGGCGTATGAGACGCTCCCCCCTCCCCAAACCCCTCCCCCGGGGAGCCCGGTCCGGTCGATTTGGACGGGGGGTGGGGTATCCAACCCAGACCCCCGACGTAATGAATTTTTCATTACGTCGACCCCAGAGTTCTCGACCCCTTCCCCAGGACCGGTTTGTCATCCCGAGTCGTTTTTTGACGCTCCCGAGGCCCGGCGAGGGCCCCCCGAGGCCGAAAATGGCGAAAAACCTCCCGTCGTGATTTTTTCACTACTCGAGGGGGTCTGGGCCCAAGGGGCCCCCAAAGGCCACGAGGGCCCCAAGAGGCCCTCCGGACGGCCCCGGAGGGCCACGAGCCGCCGAGAGATCGATCCACAGCGTTCACGCTGGCCTCCAGACGGCCCACGAGGCAAGACGTCCCAAGAAGCCCCCAAGAGGCCCCCCAAGACGGCCCAAGAGGCCCAAGAGGCAAGACGGCCCAAGAGACCCTCAAGACGTCCCAAGAAGCCCCCAAGAGGCGTCCCAAGGCGGCTTCAAAGAGCAAACATCGCCCCATTCCCTGGGGAAAACATGCACTTTCAACACGTTCGCCTCTTGTGCGTCGATAGTGTCCAAGACGGCCCAAGAAACCTTCTAGATCGCCCCAAAACGGCCCAAGAGGCCCCCAAGAGGGCCCCCAAACGACCCAAGAAGGCCCAGAGACAGCTCAAGATACCCCCAAGACGGCCCAAAAGGGCCCCAGGACAGCCCCAACAGGGGGTCCAGATGGGGAACCCGAACTGACATGTCGAGCCTTCGACCCCAAAGCGCCCCTCGGTTGCCCCAAGCAGCCCCAACAGGCCCCCAGGGAGCTGCAAGAGGCCCCCCAACAAAAACCCAGGAGGCCCCCAGGAGGCCCCCAGAAGGCCGCCGAAAGATTCAAAAACTGTCTCCCACACGCCCCCGGGACGCTTCCCACGAGACCCTTTCTGCCATCCGAGTGGCCTCAGACCCGCAGCCCAGGCACGGTGGCGGGATGCGCCGAAGGCCATTCGATCCGCCGCCCCCTGTCGATTCATCGCAGGGGTGCCTGGCTTGCTGAACCCTCTCGGTTTTGGTTTTGGTTCTTTTTCCAAAAAAACTCCCCTTGGGGCTCCCGCGCGTCCCGCCGTCCACCCGAAGAGGTGGTTGCCAACGGTTTTCCGGCCCCAAACGGCCCCAAGATGGCATCCAAGACGGCCAAAATGCCTCCAAGACTGCCAAGATGGCCTCCAAGACGGCTCAGATGGCCCCAAGACGCCTCCAAGACGGCCCAAGATGTACCCAAAACTGCCTAAGATAGCCGGACTATGGCCCAAGACGGCCCAAGAGGCCCCCAAGAGGCTTCCAAGACGGCCCAAGAGGCCTCCAAGAGGTCCTCCAGGAAGGCCCGACGAGGCCAAAATCATTGATTTTCTCCAGGTTTATGAAGGATGTTGGTATTTGCACCTTTTCGGCTTTCCGACGGCCCCAGACGTCCCAAGAGACCCCCAAGATTGCCCAAGATCGCCCAAGAGGCCTCCAAGATGGCCCCGTGACGGCCCCAGAGGCTCCCAAGACGGCCCCAAGAGGGCCCCAAGACGGCCCAAGAGGCCTCCAAGACGCCCAAGATGGCCTCTAAGACAGCCCTGGAGCACGCCGGGAGGGCCCCAAGTCGGCCCAGAAAAAGGCCCCCCAAACGGCTTCCGACGGCGTCAGACGTGCCAGGAGCCCACCAACATGGCCGAAGGTGGCTCGCAGCTGGCCCAAGAGGCCTCCAATTTGGGGCCTCCAGGAAGGCCAGAAAAAGGCCAAAAATAATGATTTCCCGTAAGGTTTTTCAAAGATTTTGACATTTGCTTCTTTTCTGCCTTCCGACGGCCCGATACGGCCCAAGAGCCCCCAAAGATGGCCGAAGGATCGCCCAAGAGGCCTCCAAGATGGCCCCAGAACGACCCAAGAGGCGCCCAAAGGCCCCCAAGACAGCCGAAGAGGCCTCCAAGACGCTCAAGATGGCCTCCAAGACGGCCCACGAACCCTCTAAGACGTCCTCCAAGAAGGCCCGAAAGGGTCAAAATAGCCTCCAGGCGGCCAAGATGACCTTCAACATGCCCACGTGTTCCCCGAAGGCTTTCCAAGCCGACTCGGGGAACGCATGGTCCGATAGCTTGGCAGGTCTGGCCTCAACGTTCGGCCACATAGGCGCTTCCACAAAGGCAGGGGGCGGCGGTGAGTCGCCGTAGGCGTCTTCGATAATCTTTTTTGGGGGGGTATTTTAACAGATGCCCGCCGGTTGTAAACGTGGGTACTCGCCCGTTCCCCATTTGCGCGCGCGGCAAACATTGAAAATGCCAGCTGCAAAAATCACGGCTGCTGGTGAGGGCGGTGCCGCGCTTGTTGGGCCCGGGGAGCATATGTTGCGCGCGCGGTAGACTGTCCAAGAGGGCCCGACACACGCCCCACATCTCGCTCCGAGACGCCCAACCCGCCGTTGGTGAAGGTGGATTCTCGCCCGTTTCCCCATGCTTGCAAGGCGAACGCTGGGAATGTCAGCCGCAGAAATCACCATTGGCGGTGCGGGCGGTGCCGCGATTGTCTGGGAACCCCTGGGGGCCTCCTTTTTTTGTTGGGGGGCCTTTTGGGACTCTCTAGAGGCCTGTCGGGGGCTGCCTGGAGCAACCGACGGGCGCTTCGGGGTCGAAGACTCGAAATGTCCGCTCGGGTTCCCCATCTGGGCTCCCTCTTGGGGCTGTCCTGGGGCCCTTTTGGGCCGTCTTGGGGGTATCTTGAACGGTCTTGGGGCCAAACACGTGTTTTGACATATGCTCGCCGTCTGTAAACGTGGGTTCTCGTCCGATTTCCAGCGCGTGCCAAGCGAACATTGAAAATGTCAGCCGCAGAAATCACTTCTGGCGGTGCGGGCGGTGCCGCGATCGCCGGGGGGCCCAGGGCACTCCGTTGCGAGCGCGCGGTAGACTGTCCAAGAGGGCCTGGCACGCCCCACATCTCGCTCCGAGAGGCCCACGACTGTTCCGGGACGGCCCCCGAAGCCACGAAAACGCTCGACGAGAACCCCGCACAACTTCCCGAGAGGCCTCCACGGGCCAGTTCCGTCAATGCCCCACGGGGTTAAAACGTGCTTCGGAGCCCCACCTTTTCTGCTATTCTCCTCCTCCTCCTCCTCCTGCTCCTCCTCCTCCATCCTCCTCCTCCTCCCTCCTCCTCCTCCTCCTCCTCCTCCTCCTCCCTCCTCCTCCTCCTCCTCTCCTCATCCTCTCCTCCTCCTCCTCCTCCTCCTCCTCCTCCTCCTCCTCCTCCTCCTCCTCCTCCTCCTCCATGACGACCAGGCCGTCCCAGGTGGTGATGGCCAACCCCCAGCCGCCGCAGGTCGAGCTGCGGCGCCGACGGCCTCCGCTGCAGCGGCGAGTGGGGAGCCCTCGGCGGAGCAGGAGGCAGCGCAGGCGGCCGCAGAGGAGCCGCGGGCGCGCAGGGTGCAGGCCGAGGCCGAGCGCCTGTCCCGCGCGAAGTTCGCGGCGCGGAACGCCAACCAGCAGATGCGGGAGGGCAAAGGCAAGAACGGCTCCACCGCGGGGGCGACGATCGGCAAGGGCATGGGCAGCCAGGCCCAGCCGCAGGTGTGACGTGCGCGCCAGCCCCGTTCGTCGTCCATCACGTCGGCCAGCACGACGGCGAGCACAGGGGCCACTTCTAGCAGGCCTTCCTCCCCCTCCCCATCTTCGGGCTTGAGTGCGAACCAGGCTCCTCGGGATGCACCCGAAGATTCATCATCAGATCAGTTGAGCGCCAGTGATCACAGCGCCCCCAGTTTCACCGACCTAGTCTTTGGTAATATCACGTGTATGGGTACTCATATCTGGCAGTACGTGGCTGAGCAGAGGCAGTTCACCCAGTACCTCGCATTCGCCGAGACCCATGTTGGCAGAGGAGCTGTTCGGCAGTGGGATGACAAGGCGAGGAAACTTGGGATGAAACTCTTTTGCAATCCAGCTAGGCCGAAGGATAAACATGTTCGAGAGCTGTCCATGGGGCATGGCAACGAAGGGGGCGAGTGGATCCTCACTCACGGGCATCTTCGAGCTCATTCTGTGGGGGGCAGCTTCTTCTCCTATGCTGCAGCATGACTCGACCAGGTCAAACGACGGCTTCTGTGCGATTACCATTCACATGAAAGGGTATTATTTTGTTCTCATCACTTTCTACGGGTGTTCTGGCATTGGATTTACGGGGCCCAATGTAGCTCGGTATCGCCGTCTGGGGGCTTTACTTTGAGCGCTGCAGCTTCCGTGGATAGTGGTGGCCGATTTCAATATCAGTGCCGCTGCGGTCAGTACAGCAGGTTTCACGGATCGGGTCGGAGGGCGCATTCTCACGGCCAACGTAGATTACACGTGCAGTGCAGGGAAGATTGGGTCTCACATCGACTTCGCGATGCGCAGTACTTCCGCATTGAGTTACGTGGTGCCTGTGGAGCCCGAGTTGGCAGTGCCATGGAAGACCCACATCGGCTTGCGCGTGCGACTGCGTGATCACGGACGGCAGTTGCTTACGCGATCGCTTTCACTAGCGGCCCGTCTTCCTCAGGCGCCGCGACCTGGGAAGGAGCCGACTCCAGAGTCCAAGTCCAGTCGAACACGCGCTGCTCGGCTGATTGCTGCCCAGGAGAGCGCGACCAAACGGAACGAGGTGCACGCGAGGCTCTATGGGGATGTCCTGGAGGCCATCGACCTTCAGAAGAACAAGGGGGCCCAGCAGGAGCCCGAGGAGCACCTCCCTGGGCGCCCTGAGTCCCAGCCTGCGCTGCAAGTTTCCGCTGACAAGTTTCACGATGATCTGTCAGTCTGTTCCGGGGAGGACCCTTGGGCAGACCAGTTGAATTTTTGCGTGGAAGGGAGGCCCGAGGGGCAAGAGGCCTCCCTTTTCAGCGATGATGCCAATTCTAATTGCAGCAGTTTTTGTGTCTTT